ATAAAAAACTGAACAATCCTGGGAGAAATGAATGGATCCTGATCCATTGGTCGGAGCCCAAACTTTAGAGAGATATATTCACTGGTTTTTTAACCAGAGTAGACCAGAGACAGAGTGGATCCTTTTTTCTTATTGTGTTTAACATCTTTTCATCTCCTCATGAATGAAACCCTTGAACATAAAGAGGCGGGGATCTAGTTTTTGCAATGACATCATATTTCAAATCAAGCAGATCCACATTCTGATCCGTTGATTGGCCGAGCAGAGCGTTCCTCTACAGACCATTAAATAACAACAGGAAGTTTATCACATAAACCAGGAGAGCTAAGAGGAGCTGGAGCCGCTAGCATAGGGCGTTTGGAGACGCCTGTGGGACCGTTTCAAAGTTCACATCCTAATTAGGGAACGAAAATTAATGATTAACAAACAAATATTTTGCAAATCAATTAATCTGTCGACCATTTTTTCGATTCACCATTTAATAATTAGATAGTCAAAGTTTCTTTAAAGAAGACTTTTTAAGATATTAAAGGAAAAGTTAGATCATATTCAGAATTTAAACTTCTGAAAGTTCTTGAAATATGAAATGATTCCATCCTGTTCAATAAATGATGATTTTTTTATTTAGTAACTTAACTTTCTGTTTTGATATATCGTATAAATTAGTGAAATAATTTTATTTTTTTTATTTTTTATTTAAATCAGTCAGTATTTAACACAGCAGGATTTAAATAAAATGATGTACCATTTTTATTCAACTTTTTTTTATTTTTTTTATAAACGTAGCCCTTCATGATGTGGAAGGATACCAGAAAACTAGATACCAAAAAACAGGTTCTTAAGATAATGGCAGCTTAGCAATTAATTCTAAGTTGATTGATAAAATCAATTAACTTTAGATTTAGAGGTGTCCTGATTTTTCATTTCTGATTCCATACAGATATGGCTGCTTTAGGTGCCGGTCACACCTTGACGATTTAGACCAGCGTCTGCCTGATGTACGAAAAATCTGAATAAAACGCTGGCATATGTTGGATAAGTTATGGGTACATTTGTATATGTTGTGAGTACACTGGCACACGCCGACGTATGCTGTATGTGGAGGTGTGCCGGTCGTGGGCCGTCAGTTCCAGGTCAGTTATCTGATGGTTGACATCCGTTCAGTGTCAGTTCCTCATCAGTCGAGGCGTCTAGCTGATCCTAAACCTCTGAGTAACTTCTGCGTAACTTATCCAGAACTTCTCTCCAACATATCTTCGTATCTGTGGTGTTCCAGACGAGCGCTGAACGTGTTTCTAACTTCCAGCTACTGTATAATGGCGTATTGGCAGCGTTTTGGTATAAAGGGGGTTCACAGGAGGAAACCATCAGTTCTCCTCCAGACTTCATCCCCATCGTAGGGTGAGCCAGAAGGTGAGTGATGCATCCTCCCTGCGTTCACGCCCACCACAAACACACTTCCTAGCAGACATGATGCTCAATCTGCTGCCACCAAAACCTTCTTTCTTTATTTTTATTTTTTTGGCGGGCGGTAAACAGCAGCTAGGTTAATATTGCAATCAAATTAATCTTTTTCTGCAGGCAAGGCGCCTCCAGGCGCATCGCTGCCCCCCTCAGGACACTGGCTTGTGCATCATTTCATGGACATCACGCTGCCGTGCGTTATGCAGAAGTTAGGTTGTCGTTGGACAGAAGTTCTGGACTCATTATGAATACTCTATGTATACGCCCAAAATAAAAAATAATACATAGAAAGTTCAGTGTATGCTCGCATTTTAGGAGATTCTGGGATGTCAGGCAGATGCTGGATAGTTCAGCAAGATGTGACTGGCCATTTAAGAACCGACCGACACCAATATTGACCCGATATGATATGAGAACAAACCATACATAATTATATCACCTAATTTGTACCGTAGAATGCTTAAAAAGACTTGATCAAGTTAATTTACTGAAACAGAGAACAAAAGTCAACAACAAAAACTAAGAAAAACTGATTCCACTAATTTAAACCCACAGAGTTACAGGAACTCCTCGTTGAACCCCGCAGCCCTGAGCGCTACACACCACATCAGAGGTAACATGTTTTGAGCGTCAGCTGGTTCACATGCAGATTCTACAAAGGTCAATGTCAGGAGGAGCTTTGGCACGTTTCAACGCCGTAGACGCCAGAAGTTGAAAATCAGAACTTTTGTAGCTAGACGATCGTTTCAACCAATCAGAGAAGCTGATGAAGGATCTGTCAGGGAGACGGAAACGCCATCCAGGCAGTGATTTCTGCAGAACTCTCAGTATAAACACTGGACTGGACTCCCAACACTGAGGCTCTGGATCAGGAAGGTCAGAGCAGACTATTCCTGCTGAGGAGACTGAGGTCTTTAGGAGCGCTCCTGAAGACCTTCTATGACTGCTGTAGCATCAGCCATCTTCTATAGAGCTGTCTGTCGGAGCAGTGGCTTATCTGGAGCTGAGAGGAAGCGGCTGGATCAGCTGATCAGGAAG